CAACTTTCGATATCTTTCACTTGTCAATCTTTTGTAGCACTGTACGAATCGAGCTCTGATGATTCTACATGCTAACTGTTTTTACTTTCATTCAAACGAGCACTAAGTACCCAGCTGAAGAAATTAGTAAAAAGGACATCCTTTTTTATGTTTTATCATTGTGAGTCTTCTGATGAATATGTAAGGTTTTGTGTCGAATAATCCTATTGGAGTCATATGATTTCTTGTCAGTTAGTAGATACTCTGTCTTATGTGGCATCTTCCAATTCTGATAACTGCCTTCTATTTTACCTGAACCATCATTATTGGTGGCCTTGATATGCATGTGATTGGCATACTTGTGCTAAAAAAAGTTCTCGGCAGACGATAATGGTGTTTAGAAGCATGACTATAACTTTCTAAAAATGCTGGTTTTGTCAAATGTCAGAGATAAAACACAATGAACTTGATTGTTTATGCAGTAAGTGCAAGCTACTATAATTATGCTTATGAAGTATATATAGACTGCCCATGAGGGTTTTGATTTAAAATCATGATCTATGTTTGATGGTGCATTAGCTACATGTAGTTCTCATAATATTTCCTTATTATTTGAGCGTGTAGACGCAAACTCAAGCAGAAAGAAAAATAATGGAGGGCAAGAAGGAAGTTCTATTGGCTGAAGCATTGGAAAGGGGTTGGGAAGAATCTACTTTACATGATAAATTGGCTGAACTTGAATCAGTGAAACCTCGTCCATATGGTACTCTTCAGGCGGTTGGTATTTTCTGTATATCCACCTCTACATTAAGCCTCTGCTTGTCCATTAATATCATTCATGATCACCGGCAAACCTTTCTTTTTCTCTCTTTAGAACTCATATTGAATGCAATGCCAAGTTTCTTTCGCAATCTCTTGTTGGCCTCATCATCTAAGATGGAGATTACGTGCTGGTCTTCTTACTTCATCTTCTGACTGCATCCAATATAGTTGCTTGAATGGAAATTACAAATGTTGCTATAAGGTGAAACACGAATTGATTAATGACTTCGCTGGATGGTCATGCAAACCACTTCACTATGTATATATGCTTGCGGACATTTTGATGCCTTATAGTTTGCATGCGTGCACACATGCAAACATTGCGTTTATATATAATTTCTTGCACAATTTCATGTGCTTCAGAATATATTAGGCTGTTGATCTATTTCACTCTGTTAAGATGATGAGACTGCTAAAAAGCACGAAAGGATCTCCTCTTGACAAAGTTTTGTGCAAACTCAGGGAAGTCCTCCTTTTATCAAGAGCACACAGACAGATACGTGCATGCGCACACTCTCGGTTACAGCATAATATTCACCATCGAAGAATTTATTTGTGATGGTGTCTGAGCATGTAATGTTTTAGCAATATTCTTTTGAAAGTGGAAATATCAGCTGATTTCTGTGTAAATGATTGCCTAAATATTCTCTCGTTTTTTGTCAATTCTTCATTTAAGTATTGTTAATGAAGTCCCATGTTTGTGTCTGCTTACTTTCATAGGCTCAAGAGGTGCACAGGGAAGCAGGGGTTGCTGGATTCTGGAAGGGTATTATTCCAACATTAATTATGGTCAGTCTATTAAATCAACGCTAGAATGGATGGGAAAAGTCTCGTTCTTCTTATTCAGGATGCTACTGTCATTGTTGTGTAAGCGAGACCTTTTGTTGACAGGTTTGCAACCCGTCAATCCAATTCATGATCTATGAAACCTCCTTAAAGCATTTGAGAGCAAAGCGTTCTGCTAGTAAGACTGGATTGAAAAATGTGACTGCTTTGGAGGTACATCATTCTTGTTTGGGATCATGGACTTATGCTCGTAACACCATATTTTAAGTTGCTTTTATCTTCTGGTTAATGGATGTCAAATCAACTCCCTAGTGTAAAATAAATAGCTGTGGTCGTTCTCACATAGGTCTTCTTGTTGGGGGCTTTGGCAAAACTCGGGGCAACTGTCTCAACATACCCTCTGTTAGTTGTGAAGGTAATAATTCGAACTCTTTGCCCCATAACCTGAGTCCTGACTTATAATTCACACATTCTTCTGTGTTTCACCAATCTCTGTGTGTGCGTGCGTGTGTGGTGTGTTAAAATTTCAAGTTAGCTCTAATCATTGATCTAGTAGCTTATGCCCTGCTGTGGCATTCTTAATTGCTTGTCTGCTGAGTAAAATGGAAAATTTGTCGAATACTGCTGGATTCTTTATCTGCTTGTTTTTGTTTGCTCGCATGTTTCGACGCTATCCACCTATCCACTTTTTAAGGCTCCAGTAAACATTGCATCATGGGTATACGATTTTATATCAGAGGGCAGTCTCTGATTCTCATCTTGTCTTTTCTTTTCCTTAATGCATTTTCAGTCAAGGTTGCAAGCAAAACAGGAGATCGGGGGGAATGTTGCTTTGAGATACACAGGTTTATTTTATAGCGCATCAAGTTATATCATCCCTCTTTATTTTAGTGTTTCCTTTGTGCTTTATAGTCTACCCTTTATAAAGCTTGATAGAGTAAAAAAGTCGTTAGGTGATTCTTTTTTGGCTCAGAAAATAAGTAGTTACAGCCGTGCTGGAATACCTTAAATTCCTTACTGAACCTTATTAAGAAGAAATGAAATGAAAAGTCCTCTTCATGTGTGTTTCACACATTTTGAGGGGACACGTTGATAATATGAAAGGTGAAAGATGAGGATGAGCAATTTCCTGTTGTCGATGCGAGTGCCATTCTTCTACATATACTTGTTACATTTACTTTTGTCCTTGAAATAGCTTTTGTGGGCTAGGATCTGACTTGATCTTTTTAGATTTATGCTGCTGACGGACACTGTTGATAAGATCAGATACGCACATATATACCTGTAGTGACATTCAGTCTGTGTACATTCACACCTACACTCTATTCCATGATGTTTTGGGTTACAAATTTTTCCTGGTTCATGGTCTCAAAGTTTTAGAGGAAAAATCAAGTGTTTTGCTATTACTGGACTCTGAATCTTTTACTATCCTGTACGCTTGCCTGTAAGAATACTAGCAAATCAGCTGTTAGCTGGTCAACTAGTCAATCATCTGTGCTAAGTCATTTTGATCGTGCTGTAGATAATTAATGCCTTGCATGCTATTTTAGATGGTAGAGGTCCTGGGGCTAGAATTTTCAAAGCGAGAAAATAGCTGCCAAATGAGAAAGTTTGAACAGGGAGAAACAATTGAGAAGTAAATGCTGTTGTGGTTTTAAATTGCAGTTTATACCTTTTTCTTTGCGTATGCTAAAGTAATTCCCCATTTCGTCATGTCAGTAAGGATGAATCAAAACTAAGCAAGGAAAAGTGTGCCAAAAAATTTGGTCCTTCCTCTAATTTCAGCACATTTTGTGTGCTGTTCCTGCTCCGATCAATCTGTTATGAGCATTATCATTCTAAAGTTTATTTGGTATATGAATACGACCATTGCAATAACTCGAGCTGCCTCTTTTTATTTGGTGTAAGTTTTCATCTTCATCGTAATTTCTACGGTATCCAGTTTTACCAAAAGCCGCTCTCTAATACAGGTACATTTGATGCAATCATTAAAATGATCCGTTATGAAGGAGTGCAGGGATTTTATAAGGGTATGAGCACGAAGATAGTACAAAGTGTTTTTGCAGCTTCTGTGCTATTCATGATCAAGGAAGAACTTGTCAAGGCTTATATGCTGCTGGCAGATAAGGGCCAGAAGGTTATGTTCAATTTGTCTAAACGATCACTCACAAAGATATAAATCAATTAATTATATACTTGTCAAGTTTCACATACCTACAGTATTTGCATTGCCTGTTGATGTGCAAATATTATCAATACAAGTGTTGGACCGCTTTTTGGTTCCTTATGTGGGTGATAAAGTCAACATCTTGTACTAAAGCTGCCTGATTAATGGTCCCACCAATTACTTTGTGTTCTATTTTACTCTGTAACTGTTCCATTTAATTAGCAGTACTATGGTCAATATTTAAGAAATGTACTCATCTCTGGATAGTTTGGTTCCATTGCAGCACCAAATTAGTTTTCTTGCACGTCTATACATTCAAATGCTATCCCTTTCCAGCGTTATTCAGTAGAATGGGCTCTAAGAAGAGGAATGTCGTTGCCCAGGTTCTACTTCGGTAACCTCCTCACGTTTACTTTGAATGCCTTGTCTTTTGCTTTATCGAAGGTCTAAATTGATCTACCTACATTGACGCTTGCCTGGGCTTTCAGAGTCTGAACTGCCAAGTGGAGCATTTCTTTTTTGTTTGGTTACATAATTGTGCTGTTTCATTAACTTCTGCTTAATTGTTATTAAAATTAGCTGTAAACTTGTAATTTCCTGAATTAATCAATCAAGACTGTGCATAATGGAAACAATTTTATTGTTGATTGGAAGCAAGGGATTTTTCTCCATAGATTTGAAAAGTCTCCTAACCATGCTTAGACCTGGCGAAACTGTTTAGCTCATATTTGGGCAATGAAGCTTCATCAGCCTACTTCATCTTTTAGGCACATCAGGTGGGTGTTCATGCATGTCTAATCAGAAGTTTGCTACTGGCTAGATCTGCTTGATATATTTTCACCAGTCTGGATTGGCATCAAAGATCTTGAGTGATTGATTGGGAATAACAACCCCGAAGAAAAGAAGTGTAGCCAACTTTAATTTTGCTCTAATTCTTCTGCACACGTCAACTAACTAATATAATATGCAAGCTGTTGGCAAAGGCCCACCTTGCTACTGTTTTGTCTCAATAGTACTATGCTGGACATTACGTTTCCCCCCTTTTCATTCAAATCATCCTCCTTTGCCACCAAGGATTTAATTCACAGGTGTAGTTCTAAGAAGGTTTGCGTTTGGTTACTCTTGTTTCTGTTGCTATAATTTTGTTCCCAGACCCCAGGGATCCATTTTGAATTTTTGGCAATTTTGATTTATGCACAAATACTTTCTTATGTGTGGGATCACGGGGATGATCAATGAGGAAGGTTTCTGGAGGACAAACTGTTGATGACTATCTTTCACTCAAGAATCTATGACAATCCTGCTTCTCTTGCATTCGTTGGGTGAGAAATTTTAACATACTTCAGTAGCAAAAACTTGTCAAACTTTCTATGAAGGAAAGTCCTACTTATGTAGTTAGCTTCCGAAGTAATCTCGGAAGAACATAGAGTATTCTTCATTTAGCACTTAAGATGCACCCAGCTAACAATGCTGACAGGTGGCATTGATTTTGCATTCTCGGATGCTTCAGCTCTCTTCTTTTTGTCAGGATATTGTGAGGAAGCTTAAAAATGCTCCTGACATCATGATCCGTTGTTTCCTACTTGTCTCTGTGGACAGAAAATGTCCTTGCACCTCCAAGAGCGATTAGGTCGCCTAGACAGAGAACAGAAATACATTATTCCCTTGGCAGTGAAAGCTAAGTCATTTGTTTAATTGAGCATTGGATGTACTTACCAGCTTCTTGTATCAATGTGGGAATGATGATCTTCTCTATCCTTTGATAAGCTCTGCTTGAGCTTCAAGTTTCTTTTTGCTCTACCCTCATTGTCCATATTTGCATTTTCGAACAATATGTCTTGACTGTATGGTTCAACAGTTGCATCACTGTGCTGTATAGAAGATACTGACAGCCACCGATGCTTTATTGTTTTCCTTCTTGTGAGACGGGCTGCATAAGCTGGTGACAACGTATAGTTTGCTTCCACATCTGGGAATGTGTCAGAGTTGTTCTCCTGTGATGAAAGTCTCTGAATAGATAGATTATGTTGGGATGCATGTGTGGTTGCCTTTTCTTCTCCTTCTGGAGCATTATTGTTGCTATCTTCCAGTTGCTTTTCTGGTTCTGGAGGGCCTGGAGGCAAAACCTTGCCTGTATCCTGGTTTTTGGCGTAATCAGAACTGGTGCGGTAATTGGTCTCTGGAGGAGATATTGTTCTCTGTTGCTTTCTGAAATGACTGCATTCTCCAGCTTGTATTTTCATGGTTCTGACTTCATCATATTTGATCATTCTCAAGTCAAGTGGCTCCAGACTCATATTTACTATGACGGGGCACCCCAATGCATTTTGTAAGGCCTTAGATATGCTTTCTTCACCCATCTCAGCAGTTGTCTTATCTTCAGGTTTCTTGAAGATCAAATGCACAATGGCATTGGCTGTTGGAACGAAATTGAATATCACTTGAGTGATAGGTAGTTGATAAATGTCATTAAATTGGGCTTTGGACAGAATATATTACCGCTAGCTATGGTGAATGATGCGAGCTTCACTTGCTGGCAGAGGAATTGCCTGATATTTGTGCTTTCTACCTTTTCCACCATATCCTTCCATATTTCTTCAAGGTCATTGAGTCGGGCCAACTTAGGCTCCTTTTCAGATTCTTTTCCTCTGCAATTTTGATTCTCTTCCGTTTGTTCCATGGTTGTGCTTTTGTTACTTCTGTCTACATCATTTGGCTCGGAAGTTTCACTGATACAAGTACAATGCATTGGGATTCTATTTTGGGTTTGCTTATGATGCTGTGCATCGATTGACCCTGTATTGAGCTTGCCATTGCCTACTGCACATTTACTTCAGTGAGCATGCTTACCTAATGCTTAATCCATATTATTCCAAGGAATTTTCCTGTTTATAAACAAGTACCTGAGGGTAATACAATGTCCTCGGGCATGATGTTTCTAGGAGAGATTTTGTTGTGGTTGTCTTGTGATGCAATTTGTAGAAGAGCAGCAAATATTTGGGTACTCTGGTCAATGAAGGATCTTGATTGCTTCTCTACTCCAACGAGCACTTTCAAGGCGTAGCACAACCTCTCTGACTGATTATTAACTGCAAAAGTATCAAAAGCTCAGCTGATATGAAGATTTCATGCATTCTATAAGTTGAAGTGTCTTACTGAGGTTTGAGCCAACTTTCTGCACTCTCTTGTCATTGTATGTGATGGTCAATGACGATGATCGGGAATTGGTGGCGGTGGCATTTGAAAGCAGGTCTTTGACGAGAGATGCTAATTGGGACACCAGGGCTTGTGGTTCCACACCTGTTCGAATAAGCTCTGTTGTGAGGTTGATGGTCTCCATTGTGTCCCCTGATACTGCTGCCCTGAGCAAGTCATTGAGCTTGTTGCGAGGGATTAGGCGTACCTACAGACGCAGGTTTAAGTAAAAAATGTATGAAAGAGTTGGCTAACAGAATGATGGAAAAATGTAAAGCTTTGATTGACGACGCACCATTTCTTGAACCATGGAAGTAGTGATTCTTGACCCCACTAAGGATAACTGATCTAATATGTTTTCTGCTTCTCTCAGGGATCCTTCTGCCTTGGCAATGATCAGCTGCAATGCTTCCCTTTCGAGTACTATACCTTCCCGTGCAGCAATTAGTGCAAGCTTGAGTTTGATGTCCATATCCTTGAGTTTGGGAAAGAAGTACTTCTGACACTTTGACGATACCGTTACGGGCAAGGTATCGATGTCTACAGCAATCAGGACAAAAACCATCTTAGTACCATATATTCCTTCTACTATGCCCAAAAGTTCATCCCACGCTTCGGCAGTCAGTAAATGACATTCTTTGACGATGAAGACCTTAAAGCCTGGTATTGCATGTGCAAATGATGTGCTCTGGATGAGTGTCCTTATTCTTTCGAATCCGGCAACTCTGCTTCCGGAACACAACTCCATCATGTAAAGGCTTCTTGAGCAACCTCTGCAGTTCCAGCATGGCTGAGGATGTGCGCCGGATTCGCAGTTCAGTGCCATTGCTAGTATCTTGGCGGTTGACGTCTTCCCAGTGCCACTTGGGCCGTGGAACAGGTAAAGGGACGCAACCTTATGCTTCTGAATAGAAGTAGACATTGCCTTGATGATGATCTCGTGCCCTGCTATGTCCTCAAAACGCTTTGGTTGGTACTTGAGACAAAGGCTTGTGCTCGAATAGCTCTCTCTTTGGCTCTGACTGGTTTCAGCTCCAGCTTTTTGATAATCATGATCTCCAACTGTCGGATTATTGAAATTCATTCCCGAGATGGAGAATTTATCGTGAATCATTTCGTCCCTTGAATAATCCTCTGACGAGATCCCGTGATCCTCGAGGGGATTGAGTTTCAGAGATCTTCTACTGCTCTTGCCATATCCATCCACTGACCTTCTACCCGCTGCAACAATCGCCTTCCTTCTCTGAGCCTTCCGCATTCTTGACCACTGCCAAGGAACACTCCATCCTTTACTTTCAACTTTGTCGCTCGACCCATCCCTACCCTTTCCCTCTGGCAACTCAGCTAAAACCGAAAAAGAAGAGCTCCGCCGCATTTGAGCCGAACTCGATGAGCGCTCTTGAGATGGATCATCATGGTAGCCCGACAGAGAACTTAGGGATCTCTGCCTATCCTTCTTCGCCGGCTTACTCGAGGCTCTGGCACCATCAGCCTGATGATTATAGCTCATGCCGTGCTATCTTCAGCAACAGTCTCTAAACTGAAGGTACAGTAGTTTTCTTTTGGTTGACCATTCACTGGAATGTAGTAGTGGGTCATGGAAAGAACGAGCAAGATCCTCGAGACATTTAAGGACCCCCCTCACCTGACTAGCTCATGCTCATGAACATGAAAATGGCCGGCCATTTGGTAATACAAATCTTTTTAAGGATCGGCGATGGGAGAAGCCGATGATTGCTCTAACAGACCAGCTCGGATTTTTGATTTGCAGAATTCAAGAGGGCTTATGGCCGGCTAATTTCGCAATCCAGGTATGCATCAGAGAGTCACTTTCAATATGATGCATATATATATATATATATTTGGCATCGCTATTGTTTTAAAATAATGATAATAATAATGATGATAATAGCAATGGGTAAGTTTCTCCGTCGAAAACTATTGCATGCCGGACTTGCGTTTTCTCCATTTGGACGCTGATTAACATTTGGAATAGATTTTATCAAATTTAACAGAGTTGCATCACTGTCATCCGATGTTAGGCAACCTACTCTACCGCTTCTAATACTACTATATAACGCCCCTCTCCGATCTCCGGAAATTATAGATAGTCCGAACGCATTTTTATCGTGATTCTTTAAGGACTTTTATATGAAAACTCAACTTACTGTTTTTCTTTTACGCAATTCATATCTAATGCCATTAAATACTCTTATCAATGGTGATGGAGCAGGAAACTTATGTTAAAAGAAAAGAAACAGCTCACAGCCCAGATACTAATCAGATACTAAAGATTAGTACATGAACAACTATCGAGGGCTGTTGAAGTGATTGTTCATTATCAGTGAGGCTGTCTCCATCCATTACACCGATATACAATTATACTAAAGAAATACAGAGATTTGTGCTTCTAGGTGGTTACAAGAGATAAGCGCGAACGTGATTATTTAAACTAAGGTTCTGAATGAGAGGATGGCGACCATTTTTTTTTAAATATATAAGAACGTATACGTCAAACATTGGAACAACCTCGTCAATAATGACAACGTTTTAAGGTGTTTCCTGTGTCGGCACGTCGTGATTTGTAGAAAGTCAGGAATTTTGAGTGATTAGTTTCGTTGATTGTGGTGGGCTCGGCTTTTGGTAAGTAGGTTTAGCATCGATGGGTCCCGGTCTCTGGATTTAGTTACATGTGGTGTAGCGTGGTTAGTTCATGGCCGACCTTTTTGCCGCCGTTTGGAGCCTTGTGGATTGGAATCAAGCGGTGGGTGCGGCTTCCTCATATTTTGGCGGGGTCTTCCAAAGCATTGGAGGAGGAGATGCTCGTTGGAGCTCCGCTTTGTCCCATTTGGACATGGGGAATGATTCTTCTTCTTTTTTTTTTTAATCTTTTCCTTTATCGTTCTTTTCTTTTTTTATAATCTTCAATCTTGTTTCCCCCTTGGTGGGATGGGGACGAGTCTTTAGTAGCATGAAAGGGCTTCGAGGAGTTTAAGGTCTAGTCAGAAGGAAATTTGAAAAACTCTCTGTAATTGGTTGATTTCTCAAGTTATCCGTGAAATTTCGATGTAGTTGGTACGACTGTTAACTTAATTGTCAAATAATTCGTTGATAAATTATCAACACCATCGGAATCTCACCGATTTTCAAATGAATGTGTAAATTACCAACTTATCTAAAATTTTAGGGTTAATACCATAAAAAACTCCAAACTAGTATATTTATGATAATTTTACTCAAAACTAATTTTTTGACCACCAAAAATCCTGAATTGGTACATTTGTGATAAATTTATTCTACGTTAGTTTTTGTTAAATTTTACTGTTAAATTATTGAGTTATATAAACAGTGGGTGCACCAGTTTGGGGTTTTACCTTTCGTTTGTCATAGATGTACCAGTTTGTGATTTTTCGTGGTATTAATCTAATTTAACGGAAATTAACAGAGGGCAAATTTATCACAAATGTACTAGTTTGAGGGTTTTTTATGGTCAAAAAAATAGTTTGGGGTAAAATTGTCACAAATGTACCAATTTATGGTTTTTCGTGGTATTAACCCTATAAAAAATCATAAACTTTCATTTAAATCCAAAATCTGGCCTGAACAATTTGAAAATTTCACATCATGGGAGTCAAATTTGGGACTCAAGTAAAAGTTGGTGTTTTTTATTAAGACAAAAAAAAGTTTGGGCTAGAAATGTCACTCAAGGTAAAGTTGATACTTTTTTTTGGAATTAACCCAACAATTATATGCTTGATATGGAGAAATGGACGGTGCGAGCGTGTGTGATGCTATGGAACAACTACTGAAGATAATGTATTGTAAATGTAGACCACATAGTATTTATAGTGGTTCGGCTTTATTACCAACCTAACTTCCACTCTTCAAATAACAGCCTTTTGCAATGCAAGTTACAACAAGTAAGATTACAATATTAGGACAATTTAGTCTTAAATCTTTTGATTATGCTAATTTAGTCATAAACCTTTTGATAATTTGCTAATGTAATCATTCCAGCCAATTTTGACTGAAAATTACTGACGTGAGTTTTTATAGAATTTTTTGAATTTTTTTGTACTTTTTCCCTTTTTGTCAGTGGCCAATCTAAGGTGATAGTCAGCAATCAACTAAAAGTGAGGCCACCCTCGCCCAAATTTGGCGAGGTGAGGGTGGTCCTGGCCAAATTTGGGCGAGGGTTGCCTCACCCGTGGTTGGCGAGGGCCTAGGCGAGGGTAGCGACCCTTGCCAGCGATCGGTGAAGGCTTGCAAGCCGTTGCCCAAAAAAGAAAAGAAAAGAAAAGAATAAATTTTAAAAAAAATTAAATTTTAAAAAATCTGAAATACTTTTAAAATTTGCAATAGCTGGTGTCCACGTCAGTGATTTCCGGCTAAAATTGGCTTGAATGACTAAATTGGCAAATTGTAAAAAAGGTTTAGGATTAAAGTGACACAATTAATAGGTTTAAGACTGAATCGGCATCCATACAATATGTTTAGAATTTTTTTGGTAATTTTTTCGAATTCACCCAATTTGCTCTTGAGAGCTAACTATGAGCTCATTTGCAAAGCTTCCCCGTCCAAATCCTAAAGCAATTGCCGGTGAAATCGCTGTTGAGGTTCAAGTGCATGTGCTGATCATGGTTTTCCATAATTTACAACCATCGTTTTGTGGCCTTGCACTTCAATCGATCCGCTTTCGATGCCGCCAATTGATACATTGGTTACATGAAAGATTTCTTGCGATTTAAGGGGAAATTTTGCTCCTTTTTCCAATTCAAGCATGTTACGAACTCGATAATTCGGAAAGGAAATAAACTGAGCATAAGAATGCATATTATTACCTAGTAGTCTACCATTCTTGTCTTTAGGAAACATTATAATGACGTGTCAATTTTGAAAATGAATATCTGATGTGGAGTCAATAATGTAGTTCATAATAGCTAATAGTATTACATTTAAATTCATAATAGCTAATAGTATCATCACAGACATCTGTCTAGTCCACCAATTCCCACAAAGACGAAGTGTCAAAGGCCCGCCAAGAAATCCCACCCTCAAGGGTAATATCGTCATCCTCGGACGAAGATAATGTGATGCAGTTTTATTACATTTAAATTATGATGTCAATGCCCCACTATCATGTCCTAGGACAAACACAAAATTCCCAGAATAAGTTTAGTAAGATTGGTCTGTTCCCTAAGCCTGAGTATGCAGGTATTATAAGAATAATAGGAAGGTTTGTTGTTAATGTTCCAAGTCCAGATTTGGATATACATTGTGTTCCTTTTAAGTTTTTCAGGAGGATACCTTTTACGGAATCAATTGGATTGTTGGGTGTATTTGTGTATGGATCTCAGAGAGGAGTTTTGAAGTTTGATTACAAGATATGTTATGTTAGATGATATGTAAATATATGTTCAGTTGTAAGTGTCTATGCAATTTCAGTATCAATGAAGTTATGTTTTCGTTTCTGTATCTGCGCCGGCTGCATTTTGTGTTGAAGATGATGAATAGTTATTGAGTGACGTAATATGCCCTTTTGTCTATTTGGGCAAACCGATATTGAATCTGATTGGCCGGTTATTCTTTTGGATATAAAATAATCATTTATTGCGCTAGCAATTGAAAAAAAAAAATGTGCCCTCTTTCCCCTAGACCTCGGTCATCGGTCACAAGTAACCTTGGTCATGGCGAAGCGTACCAGATTCTGGATGCTCACTATCAATAATCCTTCGTATGAACCCTGTTTCGATTCGTCCCGTCATAGATATTTGTGTTATCAGTACGAACTGGGATCTACCCTGCATATCCAGTGCTATGTAGAGTATCATGTCCATAAAACCCTAGGTCAAGTTCGGAAGGAGTTTCCTGATGCTCACGCAGAGAATTGCAGAGATCAATTGGCTTCCCGTGATTATTGTATGAAGGAGGAGTCTCGCGTTGATGGTCCCTTCGAGTTTGGAGATTGGATCTCCGAGATGAAGTCTTTGTTTCGGATGGACAAGAAGCGGATGCGCGATGCGGCAGAATCCATGTTGACATTGACGGAGCTTGAAGATAGATTCCCAAAATTCCCCGGAGAGTGTAAGCGTCTTCATTCAGTTGTTAATCGCGAATTGGCTATCAAGAATCATGTATCCCCTTGCCACGATGATTGGCACGATATTGTTTACGATTATATTGATTCGGATGACGATAGGATATTGTGGATCTAGGAAACAGAGGGAGGCAGAGTAGAAGGCCCTTGGTATTTTGGAGAATACTTGAAGAAGGGATCTAACAAGCGCAAGCGCATGGAGGAATTCGAAGAAGATCCGGAAGAGATGAGGATTGAGAATCCGGGTATGTACAGGAGGTGTGTTATACATAATATAGATGTAGATTTTAAGAAGAAATATAAATTTGATCACGAATTATCAAATTGGCAGATAGAATTGGATAGGATGATACAGATGCAGCCAGATGATCGTTCGATTATATGGGTTTACGGTCCAGATGGTGCTGAAGGAAAGACTACGTTCGCTAAGAAGCCAATGTACGAAGGGTGGTTCTATTCTACTGGCAGTACGAACGACCACGCTACTTATCAGTATACGATGGATCCTAAGAGGACCGCTGTATTTGATATCCCTCGTGATAAGCAGGAATACGTACAATATTCAACTATTGAGCAGATTAAAAATAGGATTGTTATTAGCAATAAGTATGAACCGATAACTGTAGCCCTAGTTGATAATGTTCATGTTGTTGTAATGGCCAATTTTCTTCCCGATTATGGGAAGATATATGTAGATCATATTAAAATAATAAATTGTTGATTTGTTTTTAATTTTTCCACCCACCGCACTAATCCCTTTGGGATTATTAAAAGTCCCTTTGGGACTTCCCTGGCGCTAGCCAGGAACTGTTTCTTCAGACCGACAAGTACAGATACTAGACTTGATCTTGCTAAAATGCCTTTGGCCCCAAAAAAAGAAGAAGAAAAAGAGCGCTTGTGGCCCACCATAATAAGTTTCCTATTACTTCCTGGCTTCCCTATATAGCGAGTTCTGATCAGTATTACCAGACCTCGCTTCCCTTCCCTCTCTTCCCCTTTATATTTACAACAATGCCATCAATTCAGTCTACTTGGTGGGTTTTCACTGTTGATAACCAAGAAGGCCCACTTGAACTGGACTCCACAGTTCAATTTTGTGTATATCAAAAGGAGTTGGGCCTTAATGGAACGCCCCATTATCAGGGAGTGATCCAGTTCAAGAACAAGAATACGACTATGAAGAAATGTAAGGCAGTGGTTGGTTGTAAAGCCCATGTCGAAAAGATGAAGGCTAATCCTGAAGTTGCAATTGGATATGCTACTAAGGAGCGTACGCGTGTAGAAGGCCCTTGGTATTTTGGAGAATACTTGAAGAAGGGATCTAACAAGCGCAAGCGCATGGAGGAATTCGAAGAAGATCCAAAAGAGATGAGGATTGAGAATCCGGGTATGTACAGGAGGTGTGTTATACATAATACAGATGTAGATTTTAAGAAGAAATATAAATTTGATCACGAATTATCAGATTGGCAGATAGAATTGGATAGGATGATACAGATGCAGCCAGATGATCATTCGATTATATGGGTTTACGGTCCGGATGGTGCTGAAGCGGCCTGAAGAAACGGGCCTAAAGGCCCAGTAGCCTTTTTAAGGGGACAGTAGGGTTTTGTTTTTTCTTTCTTTTTTTCAAGTGCCTGATGGCAGATGACGTGCTATGCAATATTCCTCAACAGTCGGCGGCATCTCAATTGTTCATTCAGCAATATTATATTCAATTAATAGGTATCCACTAAATGACAACAAGTACACAATCGGCGTGGCGACAAACGAACAAGAAATACATCTTTTATTCAACGTAACTATTCATTGTCTCTTCCGATCAACATCCGGCGGAATTCACGGAGACAAATTCCGGCATAAACAGTATCAACATATACCAGATTCATCAACAATATATCTATTTCACTCAGCTGACGATATAATACACATACTCTCTATCATAACAATCATGTTTATTCATTCAGCAATATCAATCCATTACATATTCAACTTTCGACTATGAATAACTTATGAAACATTATTTACA